AGGGGCTGAACAGAGGCACAGCAGATGCACAGTTGTCGGTAGCAACACCTGTGAACTCAGGGTTGCTGAACGTGTACCATGGAGGTTGCCTGCAGAGGGGTGGGGCCAAGCATAGATGCCTGGAGATAGGATCCAGCATGGCCAGGAGAGAGCATGGCCAGGAGAGACAGCAAGCGTCCAGAGAGAGAGTGCCATCTCCAACAGAAACTGGGAAGGATGTGTCGCTCAGAGAGTCCAGCATGGCCAGCGAGTGTCTAGAGGGAGAGTGCCATACCTCAAAGCAACAAATGGAAGATTTTCACCGGGAGTGAAAATCTGCGGTGACTGGTTTGATCTCCTCTTTTTGATGAGTTGAGGGAGCGCTAATGAGATTTTCAGACTCAGATGGGGGGCAGGAGTTGTCCCCTTAGCATCTCTCCTTTTGGAACCTATCCTTCGGCGAGATGGTCTGCGGAAACCTCTTTCGGTGGTATACCGCACCCTATTGGATGAGGCGCGCATCCATAAACTTCCTTGCAAGCTGAAGTGGGTATTAGATGCACCGGACCTCTCGGATGAGGATTGGGAGGTTGCCTGGGGATACCCTTTCTCTCATCTGGTTTCGATACGAGACAGACTTTTTTTCAATTTGAAATATTACATCGGGTCTACTACACGCCTGCTCAGCCTGCAAGGATTTATCGTGCTGCTTCGTCCTCTTGCTGGAGATGCTCTGCTCAGCGGGCTGATCTCTGTCATGTTCTTTCGAGCTGCCCAGGGATATCGGGGTTCTGGAAGGAAGTAACTGACTTTGTCTCCCAAATCACGGCACACCAGATCCCGATGACTATTCTGGTGTGCTTGCTGGGGCTACAGTCACTACAGTACTCTCATTGGGGTGTTGCTATTCTCTGTGAGGATGTTGGTGGTGTTGAGTTGGAAGCAGAGCGATCTCCCATCAGTCTCGGACTGGAGGCACTTGGTTAACTCTTCCCTGCATTTTTATAAGACAGCTTACCTTAAGAGGGGATGCCTCAGGAAATTTGACAAGGTCTGGGGATGCTGGATTGATACTTGTGCCACCATGGCTTAGTGTACATTGATAGGGTGATCTAGTCACCCATTGTTTCCTGTCCCCATTTAGTGTCTTAGTTCCCTGGTTCCCAAACATGCTGATGTGACTGATCCCCCCATCAACTCTGCCTTATTGTTTGTATATCATACTCTCAGGATGACCACCTCCTTATTGGATTAGGTGTGGGCTCGGCTATACTTCTTAACCTGTTCTCCGTACCGATATGTAATTGCTTCTGACCTAGGGCTTGGGTGGCACACTGTTTTTTGGAAGGAGGGAGGGGGGAGGTTTGGGGTTGTACTTTTACCAAGTTGTATTTATTCTTATTTTCTGTTTTCAACAGAAGTGTGTACCCCTACTCAGTAGGTGTTTTGAGTCTGCCTATGTGTTGTATTTGTGAAAAATATGTAAAACTGAATAAACAGAATTAAAAAAAATAAATGAAAGGTTTTGACTTTACATTACATTTACATCACTTTAATAAATGGGAAGGGGTTAAATGACTCAGTTGCACTGAATGACCAGGCAGGGTAAGTCCTTCTCATTTTCCAACCAGGGTCACTTACAGTGTTAATGAGAGGTCTTGCCTTGATTTAATCCCTTTGTTATTTGATTCCTGTATACAGCCCGGCATTTACCAACATGGATTTATCACCATTTGGTTTACTCTGTTGTGATCCAATGTATTGGTATATTGCCAGTGATCCAATGGCCAATGTATTGATTTGCTGTCACTGATCCAATGTATTGATCTGCTGTCATTGATCCAAAGTATTGATATGCGCTCAGTGTTTTGGTGTATTAATATGCTTTAGTGGTCCAGTGTATTGATCTGCTATCACTGATTCAATGTATTGATATGCTGTCAGTGATCCAATACACTGATATGCTGTCAGTGATCCAGTATATTGATATGCTGTCAGTGATCCAATGCACTGATCTGCTGTCAGTGATTCAATGTATTTATATGCTGTCAGTGATCCAATGGACTTATATACTGTCAGTGCTCCAGTGCACTAATATGCTGTCAGTAATTTAGTGGCAGCGGGACAGGGTGGTTGGGTGGGGGGATTGGGGTGGTGATATAATGGGGAGGGGAGCAAAATTTTGTTCTGCCCCCAACGATCCTAAGTATGATTACGCTACTGCTTATGTGCTGGATTCTGTGAAATGTTTAGTCTCCAAGGTCTGAAGGGATGCTTGGAATCTGACCAAAGTTTTACTGTCACAGGTGTGGGGTTAGATCATGGTATGAGCCGTATATGGGCCTTGCCAATATATTGGAGTGTATACTTGTCCACAAGGATCATATGAAGCTGAGAGTATGCATATTGGTGTGTGGAAAAAAAGTGTAGTATTTCTCTGACCCAAGTAGGCTCCACTATGTATCATAAAGATCTTTAGCTCTCAGTAGGTCGTGAAGGGTGTGTGAGCCTCTCCTCTTTGTGCTCATAGAATCAAAGGTACAATTCACTAAAGACTCTGCAAAGAATAAGGTGGCTCTGTTACAGTTGGTTAATCCACTGGAGCAGTTATTTCAAAATAGATTCATGATTTACATTGGAGGAGTAAATATTTATAATTGTATAAGGGTGATTATGTATTAGTGCTCCCAAGATAATATATTTACCCCCAGTATCATCTTCACAGTATCACATTCTACAAAGAGTAGTTGGAAGCCAGCATATCTTTAATGATAATCATCAACACCTTTTTTACTCCTTTTTTTTTTCTGTGTTAAGTTACTGCAAGGACATAAATGTTGGCGGGATATGTTCGTAAAACTCATTAGAACTAAGGGCCCATTCACACCATATGTGTTCAGGCCGTGCTGGCTGTTTTCTCCAGTGCGGCCCAAACACAAGACAACGCAATTTGCCTTGTCACGGGTGGGCACAATTCACACCACTGCGTTGCATTGGTGTGCTCTTAAAAAAAGTACATTTACATCACATTGTGGTGTGCCCATAGAACTTGATAAACATAATATTAGAACGGAAAGCACTGTGCACTGTACGGGCACATGTACACTATGTGAATATGTGAACAAGCCCTAAGTGGCATGGATAAGCTGTGAAATGTCTCCAACATTACAAGACCAAGTCCAGTTGAATGCGACTTAATATCTTTACATATCATGTCCTGGGTAATTATGTACCTGCACTGACTTTTTCTTAATTTTGTTTGTAATACAGTTTATAATATACAGTGAGGAAAATAATTATTTGATCCCCTGCAGATTTTGTAAGTTTGCCCACTCACAAATAATTAAAGGTCTATAATTTTTTTTATCAAAGGTGTGTTTTAAATGAAAGACATAATATCAACCAAAAATCCAGAAAAAAAATGATACAAATGTTATAAATTGAGTTGTAGTTCACTGAGTAAAATAAGTATTTGATCCCCTACCAACCAACAACAATTCTGGCTCCCACAGACTGGCTATGTGGTACACAGGTTAGTCCTGTCAATTTAAGAAGGTGCTCATAATGAGGATAAAATACACCTGTCCACAGAATCTCTTTATTCCATTCAAACCTCACCACCATGAGCAAGGCCAAAGAGCTGTCAAAGGACGTTGGGGACAAGATTGTAGACCTGCACAAGGCTGGAATGGACTACAAGACTATCAGCAAGAAGCTTGGTGAGAAGGAAACAACTGTTGTAGTGATTATTCACAAATGGAAGGAATACAAAATAACCATCAATTGTCCTCAGTCTCGAGTTCCATGCAAGATTTTGCCTCATGGGGTAAGGATGATCATGAGAAAAGTGAGAGATCAGCCCAGAACTACACAGAAGGAGCTTGTGAATGTTCTCAAGGCAGTTGGGACCATAGTCGCCAAACAAAACATTGGTAACACAATACACCGCCCTGGATTAAGATCCTGCAGCACCCGCAAGGTCCCCCTCCTCAAGAAGGAACATGTACAGGCCCTTCTGATGTTTGCCAATGAAAATCTATATGATTTTAGAGAAATATTTGGAGAAAGTGCTGCGGTCAAATGAAACCAACATTGAACTCTGGCATTACCTCGACTCGCAGTGTTTGGAGGAAGAAATATGCTGACTATGACCCTAAGAACACCATCCCTCCGATCTAGCACAGAGGTGGAAACATTATGCTTTGGGGCTGTTTCTCTGCTAAAGGTACAGGCTGACTTTGCCGCATTGAGGGGCCAATGGACGGGGCCATGTATTGTAAAATCTTGGATGAGAACCTTCTTCCCTCAGCCAGAACACTGAAGATGGGTGGTGGATGGGTCTTTCAGCATGACAAGGACCCGAAACTTACCACCAGTCTCCAGCCCTTAATCCTATAGAAAATTTATGGAGGGAGCTGAAACTTCGAGTTGCCACGTGATAGCCAAGAAACCTTAAGGATTTAGAAAAGATCTGTAAAGAAGAGCGGCCAAGCTGTAGTGATATTATGTGTAACATCCAGTGCAATACTCCTTGATATGCTCTTTTGTTGATACTCTTCCATAAGAGTTTTATACTGTAAAACAATAAAAACTTTTGATTTAACAAAAAGAAGAGCGGCCAAAATCCCTCTTGAAATGTGCGCAAACCTGGTAACCCACTACAAGAAATGCCTTACCTCTGTGTTTGCCAACAAGGGTCTCTCCACCAAGTAATAAGTCATGTTTTGCTTGGGGATAAAATACATATTTTACTCACTGAACTGCAATTACATTTATATCATTTGTATTATGTTTTTTTCTGGATTTTTGGTTGATATTCTGTCTCTATCATTAAATACACATATGATAAAAATGATAGACCTCTCATTTCTTTATAAGTGGGAAAACGTATAATATCTGGAGGGGATTAAATAATTATTTGCCACACTGTACTGCTTAATGATAATACTGTTATTATATAGACCTTGACAAAATGTGTTCTTATTTAAAATTCATGACTGTTTAAATTTATTTTTCTTTAGGCTATGCGCCGGTGACAGGAATGTGTAACACAGTACGAAGTTGTACACTTAATCATGAAGATGGGTTCTCTTCGGCATTTGTAGTAGCTCATGAAACTGGCCATGTGTAAGTATTCATTTTCCTTCCCTAGGGTAATATGCTTAGTAAACCTTTATGATAGTTTCTAGATACCAGAAATAAAACTATAAACTCCATAACACAACTTTGAAAGAAAACTATATGCATTTAGAAAATGCCATGCAATGCAACTGGGCTAGCATTATTTTTCTTTAAAAAAGTCACCTTCATGTTTACTCTGGCTTCAGTATAATTGAGTATTAGAAATATAAAAATATAATTCATGTGATGACAAAAGATGCACTTTAGCAAAAATAACATGCAGCCCCCATTCCTCCCTATTTAATTTCATTCCAAATGGTTATTTGTTTTCATTTTGTTAAATTCGGACATTCAAATATGTCTGAATGCAAATGAAACCGAATGTACGTTTTAATGACAATTTTGGATCCGTCTGAATTTCGTTTAAAACTAAACTAAATCGGACATGACTGTTCTCTGGCCAATCAGATGTTGTTTTTGGCTGTTGGGGGTTACATTACAGGCACAGTCATTTGACTTCATGTTGTGGAGTAGAGAGAGTCCATAAGAGCTGTAGGACAGTACATGGTGCCAGAACTAAAATGACCAAAATCAAACCCCAAAATACCCCATAAAATATTAAGTTAATTTATAACTAAAAACAATTGTTCTGAAATGAAAATTTGGATGGATCCAAATGAAAGAAATAAAAATCCAAATCACATCAGAATAACATAGTCATGCTTTTCTCAACAAGATAATTTGTAATGCGTCTGCACATTAGGGTTGTGACCTAATGTGGCTAGTCAGTACAATAAAACCCAACTAAGCTTCCAGTTTAAATCAGTTAAATTACTGTACATTCCAGGTATATTAGAACAACAGATGATCAAAGTCTTACAGTTTATTTTCTTTGGTAAGCAACCACAGCCAGATGAAAAAATCCAATTTAATCCCGAATGAGCTGGCCAAGGCTTTCCAAAACTGAGCTGTTAATTGAACTCCCCTGTCAGAGACAATAGGGTTGATTTACTAACCTTATAAACACGCCATGAACAAGTATACACCTCTGTAGTGTGTTCCCTCCCAGCATGATCTATTGGTGGAATCTAGACACCTTTGTAGTGTGTACACACCCAGCAGTGTGTCCAAGCCCTGCATGAATTGCAAGGTGATGTTGTGTAAATTAGCTCTACATTGTGTTGCTTGCGTTGATGAATGCAGGAATGTAAATGCATGAGCTAACCATTTTTGTCTAAACTGTGAAGCAGCATTATATATGCATCATGTGCATGATTTTTCCATATATGGCATTAGTGGAAATATGCTTTTAGAGACTTTTTGGTTGATAAATATGTTTTGCTGTGTAAAAATCACACGCGCCTAGTGCGTGCGTGTGTTTAGGTTAGTAAATCACCCCCAATGTGTGAAGGCATTCCGTGGAGACAAAGATTTCCTGGATGAAAGTCATGGCAAGACTGGTAGCTGTAGGTAGAGCTGGGAGAGGAGCAGCCCAGCTGGGGCGGACGTGAAAGACTTGGATTGGACACAAACCGTGCAAGCTTGAAGTACTCTTTGACGTCCTTACGAAGAGAGGGCCACCAATAGTAATGCTGAAGAAGGTCACAGGTACAATGTATACCAGGATGTCCAGAGAACTTGGAGTCATTTGCCCACGCAAGGGGTTTGGGATGAAGTGTGGGCACCACCAATGTTTTACCTGGAGGAGGCTGCGTGGGCAGGAGCTGAGTAGTGGCTAGAATTCGGTGCAAAGGGATGATGGGGCCAGGATCTAGGTGATTCTCAGAATCGTTGACATCGAATGACCTGGACAAGGCATCGGCACGAACATTTTTGGCACCAGGACTAAAAGTAATGTTGAAGTTGAACCGGGCGAAAAAGAAAGCCCAGCGAGCTTGTTGTGAGATCAGTTTTGCAGATTGTAAATATTGCAGATTTTTATGTTCAGTATAAATGGTGATGCAATGAGGGGAGCCCTCTAGTAGATGTCGCCATTCTTGAAGAGCTAGTTTAATAGCTAGTAGCTCACGGTCCCCAATGGTATAATTATTTTCTGCATCCGAAAACCTCTTGGAAAAGAATGCGCAAGGCTGAGACTTGCCCTTCTGAGCTTGCAGTAGGACGGCACCGACTCCTACTGAAGAGGAATCAACCTCCATAGAAAAGGGTTTCGTAATGTCCGGACGTAGGAGAATTTGGGTGGAGAGGAAGGCTGCCTTGAGTTTGTGGAAAGCATCAATGGATTCAGGGGACCAGGACCTGGCATTGACACCCTTACGGTAAGTGATGTAATATGAGCCACCAAAGTGGAATAGTTACGAATGAATTGGCGATAATAATTGGTGTAGCTCAAAAAGCGTTGGGTGGCTTTAAGACCAGAGGGCTGAGGCCACTCAGAGATTGCCTGAAGTTTGGCTGGATCCATGAGCAGACCCTGATATGTGATTATGTAGCCCAGAAATAGAACTTGTGTTTGTTCAAATAGGCACTTCTCCTAACTTAGCATAGAGACAATTGTCCCGCAGTCGCTGCAGCACAGCTTTCACATGGAGACAATGGGTGTGCAAGTCTGGAGAGAAAATAACAATATCATCCAGATATACAATAAGACAGACATACAAAAGGTCACGGAAGATCTCATTAACAAAGTTTTGGAAGACAGCTGGGGCATTACATAGGCCAAAGGGCATCACAAGTTAATCAATGTCTGTCACTGGTGTTAAAGGCGGTCTTCCACTCATCTCCTTGACGGATTCTTATTAAATTGTGGGCCCCTTTTATGATCCAATTTAGTGAAAACATGAGAACCCCACAGTCTGTCAAAGAGTTCCGAAATAAAATTGAGAGGCTATCGGTTCTTCACGGTTATAGCGTTAAGGCCCCTGTAATCGATGCATGGACGGAGTGAACAATCTTTTTTTTTTTTTATACAAAGAAAAACCCGGTTCCGGCAGGTGAATTGGATTTCCTGGTGAAACCCTTTTGCAGGTTTTCCTGAATGTATGCAGACATGGCTTGTGTTTCTGGGATAGAGAGAGGGTAGACTCAGCCTCAGGGAGGAGAGGTTCCTGGTAACAGATCAATGAAGCAGTCATAGTCTCTGTCAGGAGGAAGGCGATCAGCAGACTTTTTGCAAAAAACATAATTGAAGAACTGATATTTGGAAGGCAAAATCGGGGGCTGTGGAGGTTTCAACCAGAGGGACGGAAAGAGGTGGTAGTACCTTGGACACACATCAGCCATGACACTGAGGCCCCCAAGCCAATACTTGTCCAGAGTTCCAATCTAGATGCGGTGAGTGTTTCTGCAACCATGGGAGGCCCAGGATGATGGGACTGGAGGATTTAGGCAGAATTAGAAAAGAAGTTTCCTCACCATGCAAAACCCCAATGTGTAACGCAATAGGAGGGGTTTGAAACCGGATGGGGCCAATTGCCAAGAAGGAGCCATCTACTGCAGTCACGGAGAGGTGTATAGTCAGGGCAACAAAGGGAATGCCCAAGTTGTATGCAGAGAGTTGATAAGCATTTTGAGCCCAATGGATAGACACGGGTAGGGTGAAACGAGGGAAGCTGACAGAATTAAAGGATCGGTCTAGATCACCTCCCTCAGAGTGACCTAGGCCCTGGAGTTTCCCGGACGAGCTGGACAGGAGTTCAAAAGATGTCCTTTAAGGCCACAGTTAAGGCACAAGCCCAAACCAATGCGGCGGGTGTGAGTGAGGCGAGTTCGCCCGACCTGCATAGTTTCTTCCAAGGTTTGAGAGGTTGGAGACGGAGAGGGTTCCATAAGTTCTTGGGAAACCTGTGCTGGACGGCCAGAAGGCGAACGACTGGATCTGGATCTTTCCAGGGCTAGCTCCTGGAAGTGTATGTCTATTTGAATGCTCAACGCAATCAAATTATCAAGCGTGGTAGGAATAGTGCGTCCAGCGAGTTCATCTTTTACACGCTCAGATAGGCCTTGCCAGTAGGTAGCGGTAAGAGCCTCATTATTCCATGTAAGTTCAGCGGCCAGCGTACGGAATTGAACTGTGTATTGGCCGACTGTCATTCCTTGCTGACGAAGATGGAGGGCCCCAGCAGCAGAAGACGTTCTGCGGGGCTCATCAAAAGTTTTCCGGAATGCATCCAAAAAGGCATAGAGGTTGGAGGTGATAGGATCTTGTCGTTCCCAGAGTGGGGAGGCCCAAGCTTGGGCTTCACCAGAAAGGAGGGAGGTGAGATGTGCCACTTTGGTGCGATCTGTTGGAAAATGGGGCCTGGAAAGTTCAAAGTGGATGGAACACTGATTAATGAAGCCACGACAAGCCTTAGGGTCACCAGAAAAACGAGGGGGTGGTGGCAGACGCAGGCAGGGATTGCCAGGTGTTGCAGGTAACACGGGTGCCGATGAGGCAGAAGCGGGGACTGAAGAAGTCGAGGTTACAGCGGCTTGCAGACGATCCAGGTGTGAGGTATGATCCTGTAGAAACAGCATTATTTGCTCTTGATTTGCCTGCTGGGAGTTAAGTCTCTGAGCTAGGTATTGCATTTGGTCTTCGGCCGGTGACTGACTCTCCGAGGAGCTCATGGCTTGAGCAAACTGTCACGGTACTACTGATGTGAGCCCACAGGTGACACGGGATCCCCCAGGGTGTGGAATGTAAGTGCCAGCCGGTGTTCTGCCAGGGACCCCCTCACGGGAGTTTGGACATAGCTGCATGCTGACCCCAGGTCACGACCCTCAGGTTCACCCTGCTCGCGAGGAGAGTACCAGAAGACACAGTGCAGGATGGAGCAAAAGGAGAGCCGGATAACGAGCCAAGGACAGGGCGGGCAGCAGACAAACGTAATCAGGAGAACTAGCCGAGTAGGTACACAAGAGATCAGTCCACGAAAAGTCAGGTTAGGAAGGTAAGCACGAAAGGGGCTCAGGAAAAAGTGTTGCTCAAGCAACCAGAAACTGGTCTGAGTTTGATTTAAATAGGGAGACACATGGGAGGCTGGACAGGAAGTAGCAGGAAGGAAGGTATATTAACCCCTTCATGACTGAGGCCCTTTTTTCATTTTTTGCACCCATGTTATATTCCACATTTTAGGCCTGAAAATGACATAAAACCCCCCAACATTATATATTTTCTGAATGCCAAGACCCTATAGAATAAAATGGTGGTAGTTGAAAATGTTTATGTTGCGCAATATTAGCGCAACTCCTTATTAAACCCCAAAATTTAGTGACAAATGTAATTAAATGCCCCAAAACACAACAAATTACCCATTTTTTTAATGAAATATAAAAGATGAGGTTACAACGAGTAAAACGATACCCAACATGCCCAGTTTACAGATTGCGTGCGACCGTGAAACGGCGAAAAACTGCAGTACCCCAAAAAGTCAATAAAAGACGCTTTAAAAGCCCCCACAGGTCATCAATTTAGAGATACCCCAAAATACTGGCCCTAGAATTATTGCTCTCACTCCGGCGTGCGCGGCGATACCCAACATGTGTAGCGCGTTCGTCGTTTTCATGCGTAGGCGCACCCGACGCGTGTTTACGTGGCGACGCGCGTGCTCGCGGGGGCGGGGGACTTTAAAAAATTTTTTTTTATTATTATTAGATTTATTTTATTTCATTTTAATTTTAAAAACTGTTTTTTTTTTTTTTTTACTTTACTTTGACTGCTATCACATGGGGGGGCTTGCAAGCCCCCCCCCATGTAATAGCAGATGGTGGTGACAGGTCCTCTTTAAGGTGATGCTGGGGGTCCAAAAGACCCTCAGTGTCACCTGTCAGGTAAGTCGCCAGGATCGCTTCTGTTGTAAAGCCGACAGTCGGCTCTACAAGTTTAAACAGACTCCCGGCGGCAAAAGTCGCCGGGAGTCTGTTTAAACAGCCCCGATGCTGGCGACGTACACTGTACGTCGTCAGTCACGAAGGGGTTAACCATCAGGTGAAGCGGGCAACACCCACAGCTGCTACGTCAGTGCAGCAAGAGCAGAGCACAAGCTTGTGGAACCACAGGTGCCAGCAGACCTACAGCAGCAAAAGGTAAAATACATATGCAAACAGTAAGACACAGATCGGCTCTGCAGCTGATCTGTGACACTAAGGTTATTAGTATGAGTTCTCTAAAATGTCACTAGCCTGTTAAAGAGTTTTCCAGTGCATTCCTTATTGCAACTGGTCTTGTATGGTGATTGGCCTAACCTGAATAAAGTTTTTGCTCTTCTTAAATGTTTTGCCCAGCAATACCCCATGGAGAAAGAAGTGGACTGTCCTTCTGGTGGACCTGGCTATTTCCTGTCTTAACAAGACTAACTGTCCCTGTGGAAGACATCCCTGTGTTTAAATTCCCAGTGGAAAAAAAAGTCAGGAAGCCCTTTTTAAGGCCCTTGCAGGTCCTGCTCTGCAACCTGCCATTGCAACTGTGTCCAGTTGCCAGACCTTCTGGTCTAAGGTCATGTCCCAGGATCCTGGTTCTATCCTAATGGATCCTTCTGTACTCCTGCAGCTGGAACTTATGCCTGTGACCCTATTTTATTGTGTTGACAGGGTAGTGGAATTTTACACCAAAATATCTAGAATGGGACTTCTCTCAATACACATGCAAAGAAAACTATAGCTCATATGTTGGTTTGTAGAGCACCAGTTTAAGAAATGCCTCTTACATATAACGTTTGATGGAAACTCCTCTTTGATTCAATGGAAAACTTCATCAAGGAGGTCACCAGAGGGGAAAAGTACCCATGGCTCCAGAAAAAAAAGGCAAAATCTCAATCTGGGAAACTGTATACCTAAAAAGGGGCTAAGAAGAGTTCATTTAGTTTCTTTCAGGCCTCCAGGTCCAAGGCAAAACCTGGAACTAATTTCTGTTATAAGTCCTAGAGCCACAAGTCCTCCAAATCCCCAAGCAGTATTACCAATTTATTGGCTTTCCCTTTGGTCTGTCCACTGCACCTCAGGTCTTCACCAAGATGCTAGCCCCTGTTCTTGCTTTACTTTGCTCTCAGGACATCACAATAGTGGAATATTTGGACAACCTTCTTCTGGGGGAAAAGTCAAGTTAGGCTCTATTAGCCAGCATCTAAAGGACTGTGTAGACTCTGGGTGGATTCTAAATCTCTAAAACCATCTTTTCATTTGGAGTATCTGTGCCTGAACCTAGTCAGTCATAGCCTTGTCCAACGTTTTTGATTTTCCACTCTTAACTCCAGACTCTCCACTCACATATTTGGACTTTGCCATCCAGGAGTTAGCCCACCCTCTGTTTTTGCTTGAGGGTCTTGGGTCTAATTGTTGTCCTCCTTGGAGGCAGTTTCATATGTCCACCTTCACACCAGACCAATGGAGCTGAACATCCTTGAGGCCCAGGACCTCTATTATTTCCAGGGTGGTGTCTTCCTTTCACATTTAACCAAGAAACTGCTCTACCATCTATCTGTCCTGCTCCAAAACTTCCTAAGGATATTTCCCACCATTTTCTGAAGGGACATGCTGTTCAAGTTTGTCTCTAATCTACAGCTCCCTTTAGACAGTCTCATACTCTATTGTCATTCCTTAACGTTTCCATAGGGACAGTCTGCTTCTCATTCCACTATTGTTATTCAATCACTCATCGTTCAAGCTTATGAGTGCAACAGCAAGGTTGTCCCTTTCCCTGTCAAACTCCACTCCACCAGATTCATAAGTGCTTGTTGGACTTTTTAGCATCAGGCATCTTTTTTCAGATTTGCAAGGCTGTAATCGGGTTCACACATTTGTTAAGGTTTACCAGGTGGACATTCTGGCCTCCGCTAATCCCAACTTCAGTCTTAAGGTTCTTCAGATGGCTCTTTAAGCTCTGTTGAGCCATCTCTGTTAATCTGTTGGTTTTGGGGGCCTGTTAGCCTTCTTTTTTTTTTGCCCTGTTGCCTAAGGGGTCTTAGTTGAACTGTTTTTGGATGTCTCAACATACCTGAACAATGCCTCCCTGTGTTCCTAAATGTACACTTATGAAAATAGGATTTTTGAGCTTTTTTGGAGTACATTAACCACTTGCTGTCCAGAGCAATTTCTTACATTTGCACACACATTATAAAACCTGCATTTTTTACTAGAAAACCGCTTCAGACCCCCCAAAAATTATATTTTCTGAAAGCAGAGGCCCTGTAGAATAAAAAGATACTAGATACAATTTTTTATGTCGCACGGTATTTGCGCCAATGTATATAAAACAAGTATTTTAGCATAAAATACACTAAAATGAAATTTAGTGCACAGAAACAGAATATAATACCCAATTTTTTGGGTAAAATATAAAACATGGGGTCACGCCAGGTAAATAGATACCAAACATGTCAAGCCTTAAAACTGTGTGCGTCCGTGAAACCGCAAAACACTACAATAACCAAAATTTCCCATAGGCGACACTATAAACACTTTTATGGCTCATCAGTTTAGTGCTAACAGTGATTGATGGGCCTAGAATTATTGCTCTCTCTGACGCTCGCGACTATATGTAACGTGTGTGGTGCAATTTTAGTTTTTTCACGTAGACGCATCCGACGTATGTTTGCGCTGTATGTGCGTGCACGTGGGGGCGGAGGACTTTAAAATGTTTTTTTTTGCATTTTTTTTTCTTTATCTGTTACTTTATTTTTGCAAATTTTGTTTTTATACTCAGCTTTATTGCTATCGTATAGGGGGCTAACAAGCCCCCTATGTAATAGCAAATATAATGTGAGAGGTTCTCTTGATGGACATCAGAGGTCTTTCAGACCCCCAATGTCACCTAGGGACCCCAAAGAAGCTGATGAAGCAGAGATCTGCTTCACCAGTTTCTTCTTCTGGCTCTATGAAAATGTGCCTAGTGACACCGGAAGTGATATAATGCACATCACTTCTGGGTCTGGTGATCGGAGGAGAGATCAGCACGGGGGGCCCGGGAAGTCGACGGCAGCACTGGCGGAGGGGAGGAGGGGGACACGGTGCAGCACCGTAAAGCAATCCTGCACTTGTACATACGCCAGATTGCTTGTACTTAAACAGCAATCGCCGGCTGTTTAGAACGGTATAACCACTTCCAGCGGATGACGTACATTTACAAGGTTAAGGAACAAAAGTCCCTCCTCTCCCAATAGTAGTTCACACCTACTATTGTTTGCTACTACTACTATCGGTTGCTATAAAACGGAGGCATGCTGGGAGTAGGAGGGGTTATACTGGGCTGCATTTTCAGCTTTGTTTGCCCATGTCCAATCTCCTGAAGGCAGCAGCAAAGCCCAGTATATCTGAATAATCCTCCTATGTCCTGTAATGTATTCCAAGAAAGGATTTTAGAGTAATCAAGATATGTTTTATCCCTAACGCAGGATATGGCACCTGCCATAGATAATGGTAGCCTGCTGACACATGCACTGAGGTGTAAACAGGGTCTACCACTATACTTTAGGGCAGTTTCAGGTCATCATCCAATGAATGCGCTAGTTTTAGGGATCCTAAATCAGTCAAAATAGAGCACAGACTGTCGGTTCTCTGCATAGGCCATGCAGCCTTTAAGGTGATAATCTGCAAAAGTGAGGTAATGGGTCCTACAACGGGCATTCAGAGTTTTAAATATGTAAGTTGATGCTTAAAGAACTCCAGGCAAACAAAAACTTTAACCTTGGAATGGGGCTACCCCACACTGCAAGAGTTATGTGCTTGTTTTGCCTAGGGGGCTCAAATAAAGCTGTATTACCTGATCTTGGGTCCCACTGGCTGCCCCCAAACTGCTAGACTGGTCCTTGTAACTTCTTCTCCCCTGGGCTCTGTCGGTTTAAGGACCACAGACATCATCACATTTTATGCAGGTCCATTGCTTCCTCATGTATAGCAACATGATATGAGTATCTTAATGTATCTTGCATTTATGTCATCTTGTCCAACGTGATGACTTCATGGCATGATTGTGTATCTGATATGTTTATCTGTAACTCATAGTTTAATATATGCATATCCTAGGTTAGGAATGGAACATGATGGGCAAGGAAATAGGTGTGGAGATGAAGTCAGGATGGGAAGCATTATGGCACCTCTTGTACAAGCTGCATTTCACCGTTTCCACTGGTCTCGATGTAGTCAGCAAGAGCTCAGTCGTTACCTAAGGTGAGCAGTCACATTTTTCTTAATGTCTCTGGATTCAAAGACAAGCTGCTTAATTATGTCACATTTAGAATGTTTTTCTTGCTTATGTTACCTGTTATACTTTTTTTTTAAACTTCATTAATATTTCCAACCAGTGCAGCTCATCACAGCTCTTACATAGTCAGGTTGAAAAAAAGTCACAAGTCTATCGAGTTCAACCTATAGAGATGAGAGGAGAAAAAAGAAAAAAAAAAAGAGAAGGAAACATGAAACAGAACATGATGTCCACAATTACCCACTGTTGATCTAGAGGAGGGCAACAAAAACCCTATAACGCATGGTTTAATTTGCTCCATCAGGGGGAAAAATTCCTTCCTGATCCCATAAGGCAATCAGATATTCCCTGGATCAACAATCTCTGGTGCTTAATATACCCACAAGAACTGAATATCCAGTAATATTCTGTGCATTTAGGAATACATCAAGATTTTTTTTTTTTAAACCATCAACTGAGCTAGCTAGAACTAGCTCCTGGGGAGTCTATTCCACATTTTCACAGCTCTAACTGTGAAGAATCATTCCCGTATGCAAAGGTTAAACCTCTTTTCCTCCGGACGCAAAGAGTGCTCCCTTGTCTTTTGCAGTGACCTTAAAGTAAATAATTTGGCATCAAGCTTACTATATGGACCATTTATGTATTTAAATATGGTGATCATGTCCTATAAAGTTTTAACCTAAAAGCAAAACACCAAAATGTAATAAATTGCAGCTTACTGATTCTTAGATGTAGTGGCTGCATTAGTTTTTCTTTATGTTCACCTGGTAATTCTGCGCATAACACACTTACTCTCCCTCCATGACTTCATTAATTTCTTCACTTATTTTTTGAATGACATGCGCCATGGTGGTCACACAAGCTAAACATCAAACATGTCTGCCTTTTTTAATCTCTGTTACATGGTGGATTAACACATAATTAACACCAAAAAATACGAATGTTTGTGCTACCTTTTATGCTTACAGGAAGTTGCAAGGGTACTGCATTTTCTTGTAAGATCAGCAGGTATTTTCTGTACCCGCTGAAAATGTTGTTAGCCTGAAAATGAAAATGAATGCAACCACCACATCCAAGGACTGGTAAGCTGCAATATATAAAAATTATTGTTTTGGGATTTAGGTAAGCTTTAATTTTACCATAGAGTATACGATTTAAGTGCATTGGAATGGTTTTATTAACTAAAATGCCAGGTGGATTGGCAGTATTCAGTTCCTTTTAATAAATACTCAACATTTGTATTGTGTGTAGGGCATTTTAGTATTATGCTTCTGTTGCAAAATGTTAGCCATTACTATATAGTATATATATATATATATATATATAGAGAGAGAGAGATATAGATATATATCTATATATAGATAGATATCTATCTATATATAGATATGTGATAGACTAATTAGCCAGATTTGTGGGAGGAGCCCCACACATTTAAACTGCTCCATCTCCCACTCTCACCTGTCGGCTCGTGGGCGTCATCCCACCCGCCTCACCCCCTTTTTTCAGTTACCCTTTACTCTTGAGAGAGAGATTAAGCACAATGGTGAGTATTTAGAGACCACTCCTCTTGAAGCCATCTTAACATAAAAAGGACAGCCTTTATTCACACAAACGTCGACAATTAGTGTACTTCAAATAATAAGCTTTTCTTCAGCATAAAGAAACACAAAGTCCTTTTGTCTTTCAGAAAAATTGCATCTCATATCTCACCGGTTTCAGATTACAGTCCTCAGTATCACTCAGTAGCCTTCCCAGCTCCAAGCGGCTCACCACACACCTGTGTGACACTGGAAACTCCACACCTCCCGTGTGTCACTGGCTGGGTCTGTCCAACAGGTACCTCGGGTGCCACCGACCCTCTCTGGAAAAATGTTCTTTCCCCAAACCGGTCCCTGGTGCCAAAAAGGTTGTTGACCGCTGCTATAGAGGACTACAACTCCCAGCAATACTTTATATGGCAATGCAGAATGGCTTTGGCTATAGGGGACTACAAATCCCAGCAATACTTTATAGGGCAATGCAGAATGACACCAGCTATAGAGGACTACAACTCCCAGCAATACTCTATACAGAAATGCAGAATGGTAATGGCTATGGAGGACTACAACTCCCAGCAATACTCTATACAGATATGCAGAATAGAGGGCTACAAACATGTCACAGAACTTAGGCACACATACAGATTATAAAAGCATCACCTCATCTCCTCCTCCTCGCGGCGGGAACATCATGTAGCTGGGAGAGGCATCGGGCTGTGTGACCAGGAATCTGCTCGCTGGGTCCTCCCGGCCTAGGCCCCAGCACTGCCTCAACATGTGCCTGCAGGCTACTCTGCTTCACTCCAGCCTCACTGTCGTTCGGTCGGCCGACAGCCCCTCCACCATCTGTTACCACTCGTACATCTCCTGCCACCATCTTCTGCCTGGGTCTACTGGGCCCCCCCAGACTCAGGCCCAGCTTCTGCCAGGGCCAGTGCTAGGATTTTTGCCAACACAGGCAAAGTTGAATTTTTGCGCCCCTCCATGGCATTTTGACAAGTACAAGTACTTGTCAAAATGCCCTGTTTTTGTTTTTTTTTTAAATCAAAGATTTTTATTGATTTTAACGTAACATGACACTTTTGCTAAGACAGTGGAAACATGTGGTTACAACGTACAGCACGCAGTGCAAGGGAGTACATAAAGCGTTGGGATAGGCACAGCTCTAGAGTTAAACACAATAACAGTTATTGCTGGTGCAGTAGGCTCGCCCGTCGTGTTGTTCAAGTTAGTGACAGGTTCCACCCGAATACTGAGGGGCCTGGCAAACTGACAGGGTTAAACAGAGGGAGTTGTTCCTTTGCGAGGCACTGCATAACAGGACCGCCATTCGTGCTGTGAGAGAGCGCACTGAACCACTGCAAACGTCAATTATGAAATATCGCGCCCAAGAAGGGCAGTTGGAGAGAGACAGAGAAAGAGAAAGAAAGGAGAAAGATTAGAGAAGAACGGGGTGGGAAGGGATAGGGGAGGAGAGAGGGCTTACCAGGGTTGGTTCAATCCTGGGCATGCATGGGGGATTTTCATTGTTAAAGCATAGTTTTTTAAAGTGGTAGCAGACTGCTGTCAAATGACTGCGACTGGAGATATTGGATCTATGGTTGCCACGTCTGCTCGAATTGTGCGACTTTGTCTTCTAGCCTGGCAGTGATACGCTTGTTAATGAAAGTCCAGTGGAGTCTGCGTTTTACTTCAGCAAAAGGGATAACAGGAGACTTCCAGGATTTCGCCAATGATTACTTAGCCGCCGTGAAACCATGCACCAGAAATTTATGATTGGCATGAGTTATGCTTTCTGGAGGAAGGTTGAGTAATACCACCTTCGGATCAAACGGTAGTGTCTTACCTACCAGGCTTGCCAAGAAGTCCAGTACACGGTGCCAAAAGGCCTGTGCTGTCGGACAGGACCACCAGGTGTGTATATAGGACCCCACTTCTCCACAATCTCGGAAGCACTCCCCCGTATGTCCCGGTACGAATGCCCGAATACGACTAGGGACAAGGTACCAGCGATAGAGTAGTTTGTAGTTGGTCTCTAGTGCGGTCGCGCTCCGGAAGCTGGATTTGGTAGTTTCCCATATAGATTGCCAGTCAGCTTCATCAATGGGGTAACCCAGGTCTCTCTCCCAGGCAGATATATAGGTGTGGGGATTAGTAGTGAGGTTAGCTATAGACAGTCATATATGGAGGAAATTAGTCCAGGAGTGTATTGGTCATCGTGGCAGGCCCTTTCATAGAAGGTGAACGTGGGACCAGTAGGGAATTTGAAAATGCCCTGTTTTTTCCGCCCTCACCCTGCAGCGCCCTCAGGCGGCCGCCTGACTTGCCTTGCGGTAGCGCCGGGCCTGGCCCTTGCATGCATCTGAGTGCCTCCTGCACACCTACACACCAACAATTTCCCTCTCAACTCTGGTCCAGACTCATTAATAATAGAGCTGGTCTCAGCCACCTGATCAGTCCAGTCTGGTAATTGGCAGCATCTGACCCCAGGGCTGGAGATTTCATCCCACCCAAGAGTCTTACAGGGTTATTCACAAAAGGGTTTAGAGTTTGGAGAAGTGAACAATCTAGGACAGTGATAGCGGACGTTTTTGAACCCGAGTGCCCAAACCAACACAAAATCAATGTATCTGAAAGTGCCAACACTGAAAAGAAGTTTGGTATTGTGTTGCAGTTTAGGCACCAGGGTTTAACAAATGTTCAGCATCACTGCCTTAGGCAAAATAGGGAAACACGTATTCAAACATTTATACACTCAATAAAAACACACACATCACACACACACACACACAACATTTGCCCCCTCTCTTGCTTACCTGTTTTGCAGGAGAGGGCTGTATCCCTGGGGTCCAGTGGGGCACTTGGGGATTATCCTGTTTGTCCAGTGGAGGATGAATGTGATCTGCAATTCTGGCTGATGCAGACCATACTAATCGCTCCTGCATGTGAGCAGCGGCACCACGAGGGAGCGATAAGTATTATGCAGATAATAATGATCCTCCACTGGACCACCACAAGATGGTTTTCATTTAATATATTGCAATATATTACATAGGATCTGGGCACCTGCCAGGTTTAAAGATGTCCACCGCTATTTGCGGAAGCCATCTTTAAAAATGCGGCTTGGAGACCCGAGGAACACAGGAGACCCGCGCAGAGCACCCCAGGTGAGAACCTGGAGTTTACGGGCCCTGGCAACTGGCATCTAGACTCACGTGCCACCAGAGGGGCCTTTTGGATGCCCTCAGTGGCATGTGTGCCATAGGTTTGCCATCACTGATCTAGGACAACTGAACTAGCTTCTCAGTTGAAGAATTTTTTACAAATCGGCTATTTTGGCCTAGATTGTTCACTTCTCCTGCCTTCTCCAAACTCTTCACCCTTTTGTGAATAGCCCTGTAAGAAATCTCCAGAGTCCCAGATTACAG